AGTGGAGAAGACAAAATGCTGCCCAAGATAGTGGTCCTGGTGGCGCTCAGCGTCCTGCAGCTGCCCCTCGGCAGGGCCCAGGTAAGGGGGCAGGAAAAGGCCAGCCTGGCAGAGGGGTGATGGTGCCCTCCTGAGAGCCCAGAGATCTGGGGCAGGTGCATGGGTTGGAAGCAGGGTGTTTGTGTGTGGGCGTGCAGAGATGATGCCCTGTCCTCTTTGACCCTTCTCGGGCGGCTCAGTAGCTTGTTCGGGAAGGAGCCTGACTGGCCCAGAATTAAGACTTCGCCCTGACAGCTGATCATCAAGTTAAGGGATCGCCACATCCTCGTCTGCGCTGGGCGATTCTCCTCTGCCCCTCCTGGCCTCGAGGTTCTCGCTCCTTCCTTTTGGGCTCCTGGAAAAAAGGAGGGTGAACTTTTTTGACCCCTTAGATCGATGGCTGGGGCCTGACCAGACCTTGGGGCCCTGACTTGTTCCCAAAATGAGGGTGGCCCCTCCAAGGGTTGGACCAGGTGAGCCCACGGGGAGGGGGCAGGAGGACAGAGGTGGTTCCGCCCAATGCAGATGAAGTGGGGGGGGGATCACCTTGTCAAAGGGCCTCGCTCTGTCTTGACAGCTGCTGAGCCGAGGGTCATCACTTGACCTTGGTCTGAGAATGAAAGGAGGACCCCCTTCGGACTGTGTCTGAGGGTGCATCAACCAAAGGGGTGGGTGGGAGAAGAGGGCAAAAGATGGCATGACATTGTGTTAATGTATCTTTGCAGATCATTGTTATGGTGTAAAGAGAACCACAGCCTGTCTCTCTGGGGTGGGGAGGTGGGGGGGTAAGGCCAGGCTGGTCCCGTCCCAGCCCTAGTCAATGCCTGCTCTCAAGGTGTGAGTGTGCGTGTTTGTCTCCATGAGCTTCAGCCTTACCTGCCCTGCCCGGCTGTGTTTCCCCCACTCCTTCCCCCCCAACACCCCCAGGACTGCCTGAGCAAGCAGCAGGTGGCCAGCACCCTCCGGCAGGTCCAGAAGCTGCTCTCCTCGCATGAGGCGGCCCAGATCCAGAACCTGCGCAACTTCAAGAAGCAGCTGATGGTTCTGCAAAGCACTGTCCTTAAGCAGGGCTCCAAACGCAATGGTAAAAAGCACACGGGTTGGGGGGGGAGAGAGAAAGGCTGGCAGAGACGGGGGGGTCTGGGAGCTGTCCCCCTCCAATGGACACCTTCCCAAGGTGGAGACAGACCGGTTTCGGTCGTGATGATTTGTTTCCACCACACCCCGAACCCTGCTGGTCTTTGCCCAACAGAGGAAGAAGGGCTCTTATTCTGAATCTGAAAGTGAGCCAGTGGGGCCTCTCCCCTGGGGAGTGTGTGCCAGTCTCACAAACCGGGTGAAAGGGGCTGGGGGGGGTCAGAGGTGGGTCCCCTATAGAGACTATTGGAGAACCATAGGAAGGTGCTTGCTTTTGATTACTCTTCTCTTCCATCTTCCTCCTCCCCCCCCCAAAAAAACACCCCAGAGACTTGCCTGCTTCCGCTGCCCCCCTCGAATGGCCGAAGGCTGGGCAAAAAAGTGGCCGTGGGGCACGAGGTGCATTTTGTCTGCGATCCGGGCTTTCAGCTGACGGGCTCAGAGACACGGGTGTGCCTGGAGAACCGGACCTGGAGCGGACAGCCACCTTCCTGCAAAAGTACGGGGCGGAGGGAGAGCCCCAGGGTTTGGGGGGGCTCAGGATTCGTTTCTTAACAACCTCCATCTCTGCTGGGGGAGGATGGAGTTCAGGGGCACTGTGTGTCCCCCCCCCCACAGCAGGTGGGCAGGACGGGCCCAAATGGGATCTATCCACGGGTCCATTTCTTGGAGAAAGCTTCATATCTTGAGCTCCAGGGATCTCAGGGGGCTCCAACACTGGAGGCCTTCGAGGGAAAAACTGTGGCTAAACTGCAGTTGCACAGATAATGCGACTCCCCCCCCCTTCTTGCTTCCCTCCATAACACAGACATCGATGACTGCGCCAGCAACCCTTGCGCCCACGGCGGGACCTGTGTGGATGGTGTCCATCGCTACAGCTGCCTCTGTCCCAGCGGGTGGTCGGGCAGCACCTGCCAAGCCCCGCTGCACCCCTGTAAGTCACAGCTGGCTCTCCAGCTCCCACCTCTCTCTCTCTCATACACACGCACATACGGTTCCCTACGCCAGTTTTATCCTCACGTCAACTCCGTTGCGTTGGTAAGGCTGAAAGAGGAAGACCGGATCAAGGTCACTGCCCAAATGTCATGGCTGCATGAGGATTTGAACCCAGGTCTCCCCAGCCAGATGTTCGCTGGACAGCTCAGTGGTTTAAGTATTTGGTGGCAGAGCCAGAGGTTGGGAATTCAGTTCCCCCACTGGGCCCCCTGGGCGGAGAAGAGCCAGCCTGGGTGGCCTTGGGCAAGCTGCACAGAAGTCCCAGGGGTTTTAGAAAAAGGAAAAGGTAAACCACTTCTGTGTATTCTCTCCCCGGAAAACCCTGGAAAAGGGTCACCAAAAGTCAGAATTGTCTTGACGGCACACAATTATTAATAAAGGATATCACCTGCTCTTCCATCAGTGTTATGTAAGGACCACAGGGCCTTTTCTAATTTTCCCCCCAAACAGTTGGCACTTACAGTAGTTGGCTAAAATGACTTCCAAGAGTTGCGGCGCTTTTGTCAACTGTTTAAACCAAAGGCGCTCCGTTTCCAGAGGTCTGGAGATGACGGGTGCCTCCCCCTCGGACTTTAGCGGGGTGGCCCCGCTCCACCAATTGCCCCCTGCCGGTTTGTTTTTTTTAAACTGTTGTGAAAAAGACCTCCCACAGCCTGTCGTGTAGCTGTCGGGAGCTTTGGGCTGTTCTTAGGCTGTTGCTAGTGAGCTGAGGAGCTGAGTGGCCGAGGTCCTTGGCTGCAGAGCCAGCGGTTGGGAGTTGAATTCCCCCCCCCCGGGTCTCCTGGGAGAAAGAGCCAGCCTGTGGGCCCGCTTCAGAGTCCCAGGGTGACCCCAGAAGACCCCCTGGCAAAGGTGGCCCTAAGTCAGAACAGACTTGATGGCACACAATTCTAGATCATGGTGAGAGAAATCGGCCAGGGCACACTTTCTCCCCAATTAGCGTCTTTAGCGCTGAACAGGTGAACTCATCAGCTGCTTCTTGAATGCAGACGGAACGACGCACAACGCCTCCTCCTTCAGCCGCCAGCCCCGCTGCGCGGACGGCCTGCTCGGCTCCCGCCAGTGCAGCTGCGACCTGGGCTTCCAGATGCGGGCAGGAGGCCTTTGCCAAGGTAAGGAGAAGGAAGGGCCTCTGACAGGTCAGGGGAAGCCGCCCGGCCTTCCTTCCTCGCTGGTCTCGTCTGCCCCCCCCTGGCTAGCTCAGTGGCGTAGGTGTTCCTTCTCATGCGCCCCTTGGTGCACAAGCCTCCTAAGCAGGAACTGGAGGAGGAAGTGGAGGTGGGGGTCTCCTCTCTCTGGCCTGGGAGAGGGCCGGGGTGGATGGGTGGTTGGGGTAGCCCTCACCTGGCTCCTGACTCTTTTCCAGATGTGGACGAGTGCCACCTTTTCCAGTCCAGCCGCCACACCCGCATCTGCCTCCATGAATGCGTAAATCTCCCTGGGTCCTACCGGTGCGTCTGTCCCAATGGCTACCGGCTCCAAGCAGACCAGAACACCTGTAATGGTGAGCACCTGTGTGGTAGGTGGGGGGGAGAGAAGGTTTGGGATCTTGTGGTGGGGCAGGGAGAAGTGACGAGCAGGTCACCTCTGTCTTCATGAACCCCTGAGCGGTGTGTCCTGGTGAAGTCCTACCAGGTGTTCTAGGCGGAGAGGGAAGTTTGCTCCCGTCTCTCAGGGAAATCTCTCTCAGGCAGGCAGCATCTGCAGGGTTGCCGTCCCATGGCATTTAGCTGCCCGAGGTAGAAGAAAATATGGAGTTCCCTCCCTCCCAAGTGAATCAAGATGCTCAGCATCCAAGCCGAACCAGATGATGCTGACACTCGAGGGAGACCACCTCACAAACACCTCTTGACACCCCTGGTAGTGCCAATGCAACGATGAGCAACAAGTTGCTCTTCCATGTCACGTCCGAGGCAGATGCCTTGTGCACACAGAGGCCAAAATCCTGTCGCGCAGCACCAAAGGCTCAATGGGAGCTACATCAGTGGTGGTGGCAAATCACTTGCCTTCCGCAATTCTGGGGCGCTCGTGACTTGTGCAGAATGCAGTGAAGTCTCATGCTCCCAGGAAGGAAACCTTTCATCAGCCATAGTTCTGCACTGCTGATGATGTCCTTCCCATTAGACGTGCGCAGCTACACAACAGGATTTCACCCAGTGGTGAGGGAGTGCAGGAAACCCACAGTGCCTGTTACATTTTTCTTACATGCACAAATGCTAGATGCATGTTGGAATGCATGGTGTGCGTAAAGGCAAGTGTGTGAGTGGGTCTCACATTCTGTGGTCCATCACACCATCAGCTGTACACGCCCCTTGTGGAATCAACCTTCCGCATCCGCGTAAAGGCAAGTGTGTGAGTGGGTCTCATATTCTGTGGTTCGTCACACCATCAGCTGTGCATGACAGAAGGCCATATAGGCAGCCTCTGGAACAGTGCACACCCCTTGTGGAATCAACCTTCCGCATCACTGTGGTCCCAACAGGATTCCGGTTGTGTTATTTTGCAATTATTACTCCAGGGTATTGTGTTTTAGTCCTAAAACTGCACGGAATAGGATGTCCCCCTAGTCTAATCTAGCCCTTCCAGGAGGAGAGGGAGGGAGTGGGGCCTAAGGCCAGCTGGGCTGAGATGGGAGGGCCGTCCAGAGCACAGACAGACTTTCCCCATTGCCTTTGGAAGACCTTGACGAATGTGCTGAAAACCAACACAACTGCAGCCGCGGACAGACCTGCGTCAACGTCTTCGGGGGCTTCCGCTGCGTGCGGCCCGAATGCCCAAAGGCCCACCTCAACACCACCTACGTCAAGACTTCGCCCTTGTAAGTAACAGCCCAAGGCTTCCCCTCCTGTTGTGCTTCTTTGATGCGGCACCAGATGAACCCTACTGGGAGAGCCTGGGCTTCTCCCCTACTAGTAGCAGTAGAACAGAGATCTCGCAAAAGACGGGGCCCCAGTGAGAGAGCACAGCAGGGGAATCTCAGTACTGAGTGGGCACCTGCTGGAGGAAGAGGGATAAAGGGGAGACCAAAAGACCTGCTCGGCCACTCAACGAACCAACCCAAACCATCATGCCCATCTCTAGGGTCCTTTGAAGAGGGGCACCGCCAGGCACAAGGGATAGAGCTGGGTTGGAGGGATCCGTCTTCCCGACAGAATCAGGCCCCTCCTTTGATTTCTGTATGCATTGCTCAGAGACCCTTTTCCAGCACGGCCAGGGATGTTGGGGTGCAGCTCTTGGCCACCCCAGGGCGACCTCTCCGGGTAGCCCAGCGTCCGAGGAAGGTTCTGCTTCATTTTTTGTCTCCTCCTAGGCAGTGCGAGCGCAGCCCGTGCCCGATGGACAGCAGCGCCTGCCAGAGGGCGGCCCATTCCATCTCCTTCCACTACCTGCCTCTGCCGTCCAACCGCTCGGTGCCGAGGGTCCTCTTCAAGATGTCCACCAGCCGGTTTGTGGGGGACAGCCTCCGCTTCGCCATCTTAGGGGGCAACGGGCAGGGGAAGCTGGTGGTGCAGCGCTCGGACCAGCACACGGGGGAGCTGGTGGTCACCCGGCCGCTCGTGGGGCCGATGACGCTGGAGGTGGACCTGGAAATGAGCGAATTTGCCCGGAAGGTCCTACTCGGGAAGCACATCTTCAAGATCACGGTCTTCGTCTCCCAGTATGAATTCTAAGGCCTTTCCCACCACCTCCAAGCAAGGCCTGGGAAAGCATGAACAGCGTTGCTGGGAGGGCTCTCGAAATGACCCCTTAGTGGGCTGGAAGGGGTTGTGCGGGTGTGTGACTACTGTGGACCTTGAACCTTTAAGCTCTCCCCTGTCGGATGCTTGCACAACTCCATGTACCCCCTTTTCCCCCATGCAAGGAAGTCTCATGCTGTATCAGCTTTTACCGGTCATCCCTGAATGTGCCCCCCTGCTTGTTGCATTGTAGAACTGTAGTGGTGGAAGGGACCCTAAGGGTCATCTAGTCCACCCTCCTGCCGAAATCTAGCGAAGGCCTCCAGGGCAGGCGGCACCCCACACTCCGTTTCCAAACCTCCAAGGAAGGATCCTTGGCCACCTTTCTAAGGCGTGCAGGCAGTGTTAAGAGGGAGGGAGGAAAGCAGGAAGCAAGAACATCGGATTCCTGGAAAAACTCAAATCCTCCTCGGGATCAGCAGACGACCAGGACCACCAACCCCCCCACCACCACAGTTCCGCCATTTGGTGATTTCTGTAGATTTTTTTTTGTTAACTCAAAGTTCCTCTCCTAAGGCATAGTAACCAGCAATAAAAGCTTTTGAGCTAAAGAACGTCTGTATTTTTGGCATTTGCCCTTTGGCCGCATCCACGACTGAAGCGCTGCTCCTCAGAAATTGGGAAATGAAAATGGTGCCTGACTCATGGAGCGAAGGCCCACTCCTGACCAGGCAAAAGCGAGGGGTCAGGATTCCAGTAATTTCCCCTACGGCTTCAAGGAGGATCCCGTCCCATCCCTTGAAGCACTCATTAATAACAACAAAAGCCATCCGAAGGAACAGGGCCTCCAGTTCTACCAAAGGAGCGAGAATTGGCACAGGGCTTTCAGGCTGACCCTCACAGAAGCTCAACAGGGAAGACTGGACCCCGAGCGGATGCAACCACATGAAGCTTCTTCTTCGGTGATCTTGGAAAAGTGAACTTTTCCAAGCTCCAGAAATGGGCCTCAACAGGTCCTCCTATCTTGAGCTTTCCAAACCCAGGAAGGGACGTCTTCTGGCAGCTCGCCTCCAGATATATGGAACATATAGAAGCTGGAGCAAGAGCAGGAAATCAGCTGATGACAGGAGCAAGGGGAGGGGGCGGGATTCGGTGTGGCATTCACACAGGGAGCTGGACCATTCCCAGGGGACATCACAATCCCCACCCCTCTCATTTATCCTCTCCACCTACACCCCCCATTTAGGGCAGAGAAATGGGCACCGTACCGATCCAGCCTCGTTAGACGCCAACAGAGAGACAATCTCAGGCTGCCTGTTCGCTTACCAGCGGCGTTTGCAAAAGAAACAGCTTTTGTCTGCTACTATAAAACGGCCCCAACTACATATAGGCTCGCTTGATGTAACCGGTGAAAATTGCGAGGATTTAGCTCTATATATTATTTACTTAATCATGTTTACTTCACCGATACCAGTCATTAAAACACAACTGTTATGTAGTTGCATGGGAAAGTTTCCGGGCTTGGTTTTTTTTATACTGACAAAACTACGTTGTTCCCAGGCTTTCATGGGGCGCGGGTGTGTGTGTGTTTAGAAATAATAGGCACCAAAGCTACGGGGGGCCATTGGCTCAGGGTCATTCGGAGGCGGGCACCTGATTCCCTGGGATGTCTGCCCTCCAATTTCCCAAAGGCATTTACAGCAACTGCCATTAAAACAACTAATTCTTTATTGATATACAAACCATGTAGCGTTGAAAACCCAAGTGGAGCAGGAAGCCACCTCCGGAACCGCTTCCTGGGGGAAAGCAGAGCTTCCCAATCCGGAGGACAGTTCGGACCACAATCCGGAGGACAGTTCAGACCACATGCGGTTTGGCGAACAGCAGGGTGGGAAGCAGGAGGGCCCCTTGCGCGCGGGCAAACCTGCACATCTGCAGGACTGGCTTCGGTTTGAAGAGGGATTCAAGCTCTCCAGCGATGTGTCCATTCTGAGTTTCACGCAACCGCCCAGGCCTCATAAGGGCGAAAAGCTTCCCAAGACCCCAGACTTTGGGCCCAGCTTTGACAAAAGATGCTGAGAGTAGCAAGTCTTGGAGGCAGGATGGAGCTGAGCCCCCCTCCTGGTGACATTCATGAGCATAAGGCACTCTGGAGGGAAAGGGAGGTTTGGCTGACTCCCATACTCTGGTGCCCATCTCACAGGAGAGATGCCAGCAAGACGCTTCTCACTTAAGAAGAAGAACAACACCAATAATAGCAATCATTATCATCATCATCATAACAATGCTGAAATGTCACGCAACCTGCCCACCAGGTTTGGAGCTGATTTTTGGAAGGAACGGGTGGGTCCTGGAGGGCTGGCGTTCAGAAGCCCAATGACTGACTAGGATTAAAGTGCATCCGAGAATCAACATGGAGTGATGGTGGAAGGACCGATTCTGGGCCCAGGGAGATGGGAGGTGCCTCGTTAGAGAACTCCCAAAAAACACACCGGTTCAGAGAAGGCAGGGGCTGTAAAGCATGGACAATGGAGGCGAAGGACGGTAAAAGCTCTTCCCGAGGGAGGCAGGCCTCTGCGTCTATCCAAATGCTGCAGAAGGACCGTCCGGTGGATGAGAACGCTCCTGGACCTCTGCCCCGAGACCGAAGGCCTGCACCCCTTGGCACCAGATCGTCCCGAGCCTGATTAAAACTGGCTGATACAAAGGAGGAAAAAAAGAAGACCCCACAGAGAGCAGATTCTCCGTTCCACTGCCCGGTGAGGACAATGGCCAGGATAAAGGCTGGTGAGCTTCCCGAGCGCTGCAAGAAAAAGGCTGCTCTCTGCCAGAAGAAAGCCTTGCCCCAGCCAGCCAGCCTAATATGGAAGACACGGAAAAGAAAAAGGAGCAAAAGGGTGGTGGTGGTGGAAGAGATGTTGTCTAACACAGACCGTTGTGCAACCCATAACCGAAGACTCAGAGAACTGCCCTCTCCGAACCTGACAGGGTCTCCGTTCTGGGGCTGTTCTGCAGATGCTTCCCCTTCGCTGCCTGGTGGAGGAGTGGACGCTGCCCCCTCTGCCAAACGCACAGCTCCCCCCCCCCCGGGAAAAGGAGGGTGTGTTTCCTTCCAGGGCCTGCCAGCTCCTCCAACAGGCAGAACCTGAGAGGGAAAGCTGTGACGTTCGGGGCAGGCGGCCCGCGGGCCAGAGCTAATTAGGCGAAACCGAAGACTCAGAGAACTGCCCTCTCCGAACCTGACAGGGTCTCCGTTCTGGGGCTGTTCTGCAGATGCTTCCCCTTCGCTTCCTGGTGGAGGAGTGGACGCTGCCCCCTCCACCAAACGCACAGCTCCCCCCCTCCGGGAAAAGGAGTGTGTGTTTCCTTCCAGGGCCTGCCAGCTCCTCCAACAGACAGAACAAGAGGGAAAGCTGTGACATTCGGGGCAGGTGGCCCGTGGGCCAGAGCTAATTAGGCACACTACCGACTCCCCATCATTAAGTGCTGTAAGAGAGAAGAAATCCAGAGTTCACGGCGGGTGGAGGATCCCCAGCAGGCTCTGCAACAGGCGAACAACAGACTCGGGGGGGGGGCTGTCCGGGGGCCCAAGGCCTCGGCTGACCCGTGAGCAGAGAGGCTGGCCCGCTCTCTTTGGACCTGGGCTGGCCACAAATTTAAGCACCCAGTTTTGGAGGCCGGGAGACCAAGAGGTATGTAAAAGTGGAACATGGGCAGAGGGAGGAAGAAGCCATACAGGTACAAAATGTAACAGACCGGAGAGACTCGACCAACGTCGACGGAGCAGCGGCAGGGGAAGAGTCTGGAGCCGGAGGTATGTAAAGGTGGAACATGGGCAGAGGGAGGAAGAGGCCGTACGTGTACAAAATGTAACAGACCAGAGAGACCTGACCAACGTTGACGGAGCAGCGACAGGGGGGAAGAGTCTGGAGCCAGAGCAGCTCCCTTCGAACTCGGGCCCCGTCACTTTCCCTGGAAGCCTCCGAACTCCAGCTCGTCCTTGCGGCGGCGCGTGGTGAAGAGGGAGCTGAACGGGTAGAGCTTGGCCTTGGCCTGGAAGCGCTGGCCGGCAATCTCGATCTCGTACTCGCCCCGGTTGACAAAGTCCGGCGTCACCAGCTGCTCCTCGCCGGTCTCCGGGTCCGGGTTTTGAACAAACCCCAGGCAGACGTGGCGCTCCAGGGTGTAGCTGTAGGCGCTGCTGGTGGTCTGGCCGGCATAGTGGCCGTTCCGGTAGATGGGCTCCCCCCACCAGGGCCACAGGTCCAGGTCCGTGTCGTGGTCTTCCAGGATGAACATGGTGAAGCGCTTGGAGACGCCCTCCTGCTTCTGCCGCATCAGGGCCTCCCGCCCAATGAAGTCGGTGCCCTGGAGGAGAGGGGAAGGGAAGGGAAGAATGTGGGGAGGAAGGCAGAGAAGGGCCCAGACACCCTGGGAAGCGGTGGTCAAAGAGGAGCTGCTTTAGAGCCGCTTCAGCAGCTTCTTGGTTTCTACAGGGTGATGCGCTCTTGGCACACTGTGGAGGAGCCCTTGGGCTTGCACTGAAGGGCAGGCTGGCTGCAGCCAAGAAACCAGGCAGATGCCCCCAGGCCACCCATCCCAGTGAAATCTGAACCCATTATTCCCCAGGTCCCAAAATTAACATGGGACCCTGCCATATGGTGACTCCTGCGCTGAAGTCTGGCTGCGCTCTTCCAGTGCCATGGCCGCCTGGCTTCCAGGCTCTCGCATGAGAAGCCTTTGTCAGGTTCCTCGCTTCCTGCGGAGAGGAGGCGGCTGAGAACCAGAGCTTCCTACACAGTAGGAACCCCTGGCTGTGGGAAAGCCTTTGCTGGGGATCCCTCGTGGCGCCGGGGTTCAACGGCAGTCCGCCAGCCAAAACTCTGCTCACAACCCGGGTTCCTTCTCAGAGAGACGGCTTGAGGTTGACTCAAGTCTTCCCTCCTTCTGAGATCAGTAAATCCAGCTTGCTGGGGAGGTCCTGTGGACCCAGAATAACTGAACTGCAAACTAGCCAGACAGTGCTTTAAGCGTGATGGGGTGGTATATAAGCAGCACACTCAGCTCCCCCCCCCTTTTTTTTTCTTTTTGTCTGCCTCCCTCAGCTTTTACTTGATGAGGCTCCTTTTTAAAAAAGTTTTTATAAGGTCCTCTTTTTGCTATGAACATTATCCCCTCATTTTTGCTTGATCCAGCCAGACCTCACTGTGTCTATGATTTTACAGTTAAGTGGCCTTGGGTACTGACCATACAGACGGGGGTGATAACAGATGTATCTTGACATTTTTTAAAAAAACGTTAAGCCACACAGAAGCCCCTTCACGTACCTTCTCTAACTTAACCCGGAACTCACGCCCGCACTCCAGAGGGGTGGTGAAGGCGTCGAGGTCTTGGCCCCAGAAGGCAAAAAACTTCTCAATGCGCAAACTGCGGAGGGCGTAATAGCCGGAGTTCCGAATCCCATACTTCTGCCCCACGCTCATCACCTCGTTGTACACGTGCAGAGCATACTGCGTGAGAAAACACAGAACAGGGGCGGTGAAGCCGAGCCCATTTAGACCCAGCCCTGAACCACCCTGGGAAAGAGAGGCGGCGGCAGGAATCCTTCGCCAAAGTAGAGAGGAGCATCTCGGCCATGCCTGAGCCCACCTTTCAACAAACAGCTTTGGAAATGCACTGCGGATGGCGCTCTAGGAAAAGAGGTTGGGAAAGATGCCTCCGGAAGCTGGGCCTCAGGGTATCTTTCTCACCTCTTTCCCTTGAAAGAGAACGGACGAACGGATAAATTCTGGCCGCCTCGGGAATCCCAGCAGGCTTGAATCAAAGTGAAACACTGCTGGTCATGCACACATTTCCAAAGCGCCAGCTTAGAGGCGAGGTCTGAGCAGAGGATTCTGCTTCAAGCTGGCTACGGGAGCTGGCAGGAAACCACCCAACGGGCATCCCGTTCTTAGCCAACACTCCTGGGTTGATGAGCGGGTTGATGAACAAAAGTGAACCCTGTCTACTAAATTGCCTTTATAACTTGAGACAAGACAGAAGACTAAAAATCCAGGTAGAGAAGCGTCCTTTTCAAGAGTCCTGCTTAACTCAGTTAGCAGGGAACCTTGTGAATGGCATCTGTCCACCACTGCTCCTGCTCCTGCTCCTGGAAGCCACAAGATAATTCCTTTTCGTGAACGGTGTCCCTAACGTGAAGCAACTTTTGGCTAAACAGACAATAGAAGCCTTGTATAAACTCTGTCTTCAGGCATCCTGGAAGCAAACCTAGAAGCAGCTTAGTTATAAGTCAGCCTCGGGTCAGCCAAAGAAGAAGACAACTCAGGCTTTTCATATCACATACAATACGGATGTGTGGCCACGAGACATAAACCCCAATTTCACAAACCTTGGCCTCCCAGCGATCTATCTGAACATTTGCTACACCGAGGGGTCTCTCAACTTTCTCTCCCTGCTGGCTTTGGGGGGGAGGGGAGGAGATGATTCCATACTTGGTATTCTGGGCACATGGCACGTGAAAGGGTCTGGCCACATTTTCCTCATGAATACTTCCGAGAAGCACTTCTAGCAGCTTCTTCACAATGCACTAAATTTCTCTCTCCATTTCCCATTTCCTTTTTTTCCAGGAGTCTTCTCTATTTGAAATAATTGCTATTTCTGCAACAGCCACCCTTATTGGGGAGGGGGGCAGGAAGGAAGGTTGAGAGAACAACAGACTCTTGGGGAGCAAGAGGGTGGATTCAGAGGGGATTGGTTAAATGAGTACCCAGCTCATGGGGAAGGGGCGTCCCTTTTGCTATATGATGCTTCCACAAAAAGCCCTTCTGATTTTGGACCATGTAACCCTCCCTCCTTGGGAGAGGTGGAGAATTAGCCCCCCCCCAACCACAAACAGCCTAAGGCTGCTCCAATCACAGCATATGCGCTTAAGACCGTAAGAACCTCTCACCTCAATGGGGATGTACAGCATGAATCCTGGCTCTCCAGTGTGCGTCATGCTCATGACACGGATGCCGTTGGCGTAGCCCACGCTCATCTCCTGCAAGAAAGGGAAAATGATGCCCAAATGGTCAGGATTCTGGTTGGCAGGGCACTTGACACGCCCAGAACAAGATCAGATATGGAGGAACAGACGCAACCTGTCATTCCCTCCACTTGGTCTCAACTGACAGGCAACACGGGCTGAAAGGGCATGCCAGCAGAACGAGATGGCAGGTGAGGAAGGATTTTCCCAAGCTAGGAAAAGGTCACTCTGAAACAGAACAAGTAACCTGGGGAAGCCTCCTGTTTGAAGATCAAACCAGCACCTGGCTTCAGATAAGGCAGGCGCCAACAACTCAGCCAGACAGGTGGAGGGAGGGCCCTTTTCACCCTCTGCTAGATTCAGTGGGCGGCACCCACACCCCAAGACCAAAACAAACCTCTGCGTGAAAACAGCCAGGAGAGGAAAACAGAAGAGGCAATACGACGGTATCTCCATGCAACTCGGAAGAGCAGCTCTTTTCTTTAAAAGTCAGGGGAATAACACGGACTTATTGAATGATGTTGGATTTACATACGTATGGAGTCATCCCTTCAGCGGCTGACCCAGTGGGTCTAACTCCAGTAGGAACCATGGGTAGAGATGAGCACGAAGGGGCTAGTTCGTTGCATTTCGTTTTCTGGCTGAGCCGCTGATATGCAGTTCGGCTCCCCTGACCCCTCCAGCAGCCGCCCACTCGGCAGCAGTGCCCAGTGGGCGCCTGCTGGAGGAGGCAGGGCACCGAACCGCAGATCAGCTGTTCAGCCGGGAAACTAATGGTGCTGAACCAGCAGTTCATGCCCATTTCCAGTCTTTTAAATGCCACACTGAGCAGCAAAGGTCCTCCTCTTATCTCTGGTCTGCACTGTATCTGGAAACCCAACATTTCCGTCTGCTTATGAGCTGGGAATGAGAACACCTCCTCCAAAGAAAGAGGTCTCCCCGGCTGTCTGGTGGAAAAATTCTGACTTTGGCTTAGAAAGCCTTCGGGGAGAGAAGGGTGAGGGACTGCCAGAGGTCAGACCCATTTGCCCAAAACACAGCCCTTCACAGAGATGTGAAGACAGACGCAAGCTTCTCTGCCTGCTGATGAAAGAGTTGTGTATTTTGGAGTGAGAAGAGGAACGCTAAAAAGGTACATCCACTAAAATATGAATGGATGGGGGGGGGAAATCCTCAGGTTTTACAGGCCTGCCAAACTGACTCGAGACAGGCCAAGCGGCTCACATTTCTGCACACAAACACTTCTTACAATTTTGCTGCACCGGACAGCTTACGATCAACACCGCCCTCCAGTTCCTCCTCCTCCGAAGAGGGAATATTCGAACTACCGACCACAGAGACTGACTTTCACTGCAGGCTGTGTAGCTGGCATCACAGAATGTACGCCACAGCCCTCCTGGGAGACCGGTCCTGCTCGGAAGCATGAAACAAGACCGTGTGGCATGCAAGAAAGCAAGTAGGGGGGAAGAAGGAGAGAAAGCATAGCCAGTTGGAAATGCTCCAGCTCAGATTTCACCTCTGCAATACAACTCACTCACCAACTTTCAGGTGGTTCTTTTGTCCAGGGCCCAACCCCTAAAAGAATTTCAGTCTGGGAGACAAGAAACGTGACCCATTTTGCAGGCTCCGCCGAGCAGTCCAAGAAAGGCCCAAGGCCCAGTGAGCTCACAGATGTTCCCTACACGGAGGCCAAGTGGCCTATTAACAGGCTACGGCTGCTTTTTCTTAGTGGGAGGAGAGCAAGGGACTCTAAAGCATGCTTTCAGGGGCTGATGTCTCCCTAGCGTATGGCCACAACCTGGTGGAATCCACCACTTGCCGAGGTGTGTCAAGCCCCCTCCCTGCAGGTTTAAAGGCAGGCGCCAAAGGGTGCTTGTTGCCAAAGGGTGCTTGTTGCGCGCATCTCTGGATTCAGGTAAGCCTCCCCCCAGCCCAGCCCCAGGTTGATCTCCAATAAGAAGCAAAGCGGAGGCTTCATGCAAACGGAAGAGGAACGCACCTTGCAAAAGAGGGAAGGGAAGTGCTCTGGAGTCATTGGTGCATAGGAGAGCTCTGACAGGACATCGACAGCACGTGGGCCAATCAGATTCAAAGCTGGGGAGAAGGGGAGGGGAAAAGAAGCACCAGGTGTTTCACGGTCTGAGCAAGGAGGAGAGAACGGCCCCTCCTGGGGGGGGGGTTCCTCCCTTCCTGGTTTCTTGTACTTTCTCAGCTCAACAAGGCAGCCGCAGCTGATGGAGGGAAACCCTCGGGAAAAGGATCCCACACAGGAAAGCAAGCCTGTCGGCTCATGGAGGCATCCGTGGCTCCCTTGGACACCGCTAGAAGGGAAGGGGGGGAGGCTGGTTCTTGGCTCTGGAGCAGCCCCCCCCCCCGAGCCAAGCCAAGCCAGACCCCGACCCGACCCGGGGCCTTCACGAGCTGCTCCTGCTCCGTCCTGCCCCTTCGCCTCACCTGTGTACTTCCAGGTGACGTCTTCCAAGAACAGGCTGCTATCGTCCGGCATGTGCTTCTTCAACCAGGCCCAGCAATGGACTTGCTGGTCTGTGGGGGAAATGATGAAGAAACTGGAATAAAAACAACAACACAGAAGCAATGAATGAATGAATGACAAGTGAATGGTTTCCTGAGAGGAGCTTTACATTTCATGCCTCGTTGCTTTGAATTTGCTATTGGTGTTGATTTCATTTACTGTGCTGAAACAGCGATGCTCAATCACGACATTTAGCCCAGCTCTGAACTTCCTTCAGCGGCCAAGCAAAGGCCACCAGAAAGCTCACAAGGCGGGCGCGTGAAGGCAGGGTTGTCTGCTAGGCCACCAGAAAGCTCACAAGGCGGGCGCATGAAGGCAGGAAGGAGCCTTTGCCCTGGGTTGTCTGCCTGCCTTTAGCCCTTGGGGCGAATGGCCACCAAAAATCTTCTCAAGCCCTTCTGGCTTCTTCCAAAGAACTACTAGCCAGCCCTTGCACCTCACAACAGTCAACTCCACTGGTAAATTTATAAGTTTTTGTAGCCCTGATTTGACAGACCCAAGAGCGGACAAAAAGAGGCTTTTTTCATAGAACGCGCCATGGATTTACGGCAGTGGGAAGGAGGGTTTTCCTTTCCCTTGCCTCCAGATGGATCTGTGCTTCTTGCTTCCCTTTCTGGGCTTCCGCGGTGTGGGAAACGGGAGTCACGAGCTCTCCCGCAGGAGGACAAGCCCGGGAAGGGACAGATGCTCAACGGTACCTGCGCTTGTTGACGCGGACCACGCTGCAGTCGTTCTCGTACCCTCCGTTGTGGTTGAGCATCCCCGTATGGACGATGTGCCCGACCGGCACCTCCAGGTCGTTGGAGAGGAGATACTGCAGGAATTCCAGGGCCTGGTCCCCCGTTGACTGCAAGCACACACACAGAGAGAAAAAAGGCTTTTTATTCCTAACAAGGCTGTTTCAGCAGCACTCAGATGTCATCCTCCCCTTGCCCAGGGCCCAATTTTCCTTGCAGAAAAAGAGAGGGTGAACCACAGGTCCCAGAAGCCTCCAGGAAGGGTGGTCTGCCTTTTGAATGGGTCGCAAGGTTCCCTTGCCACACTGCTGAACATCCCAGGACAGAAGAAAAGTCCCAAGGCGACCTTCTTTGGAGACATCAGGGAGAGAAACAGAAGACAATCCGGGCGACTGAGGAAGCTCGCAGGATCGTTTGTTTAACGGGGAACAAAAAATCCTTAACCACACTCAGAAGCAGAATGAAAAGTAGAAACTTTTCTCACAGACGCAGAGTACTTGTTGAAAAACACAAAGCATGGTCTCTGGCTGCCTCTAGTGGCAATACATAGTGAAAATACTTTTTTTCTGGATTAACCCCCTCCCTCCCTTTTCCTTGCTATGAATAGTGTTTGCTATTATCCGCGGTTTTCAGCATCTGCACGGGGGGCGGGGGAGGTTTGGAACCAATCCACTGCAGATTCGGGAGCCCTCCTGTACTTAAAAATATATATATATCCTGTTTGAGTTTTTGGTCTATAGTGTTTGCTATTATCCGCGGTTTTCCGCATCTGCACAGGGGGGGGGAGGCTTGAAACCAATCCACTGCAGATACGGGAGCCCTCCTATACTTAAAAAATATATATATCCTGTTTGAGTTTTTGGTCTGCTGCTGGCCAGGACTCCCTAACTGCTGTCATGTTCCCACATATATATATACATACAGTTCTACATGATTTAAGTTCAGGAACAGAGAATCTGCAGTCCTTCTTTACCTGTTATTGGACTGCATCCCACCATCTCCGGCTAGCAGCTGCGCTGGCCAAGGCCGATAGCCACCCATTCCCCAGCTGCCGGCTTGTTTTTTTTCTTTCTGCAACTCAGATATTGCATGAAACCGACAAACCCTGGGAATCTGGGTCTCTGGAAGGGCCCTCCCCTTTCCCTCGGCACTTACGCTGATCTCAAACTTGGTGAAGGAGGACATGTCGATGACACAGACGGCTTCTTTGCAACACTTGACCTCGGCGCCTACAATATCGAACCAGTCCGGCTTGTAGAAGGTCTTGCTTTGATCCAAAGCCAGCAAGTCTTAAGGAGGAGAGGAGAGAGACGGCTCAGAAAAGGCCCAGCGGGTGCCGGCCGGCCCTTTCGCCCCTCAGCCACTGAGCAGGGAGGGAAAACAGGCTCACCTTTTTCCGGGGGCACAAAGTACTTGGCCCTCTCGAAACCGTGCTTCTCCATCCACCGAGCGCCTTGGGCGTCCAGCCGGTCGTAGAGGGGCGACGTGCGCAGCTGCCGACCCGTCTGGAAATCCCAGCGAGGAACTTTGAGGTCGTAGATCAGGGCTGGAGGGGCCACAGAACCACAGAATCAAAGCGCTGGGAGGGAGAGCGATGGATCCATCCCCCGCCGCGTCCCAGCAGGATGTCCTGTACGGCCCTGAGGAACGCCTGGCCCAGCCCTGAATAGAAAAATACCCAAGGAAAGAAGGAAGGAAGCAGCAAAGGAAACTAAGGAAAGAAGGCCAAGACCCCAAGATCCTCCACCGGTGTCTCGTCTCTGGGCTGAACTACTCAAGGACTTGGTCTAGCCTGTCTGGGACATCAGCCGGCTGCGGAGGTCACCTGTTGAGCTCTCCTAATCCCTCTTAGGCGATCCAGAGAACACAAGCTGCTCCTTGGACCTCCTGTCCCTCTGGGGCTCCTGCACAAGGGAGCATTCAATATATGCCATGGGTTACAGCAGGGGGTGGGCCCCTTTCCAGGGCCTTCGGAAGATGGTCCTTGCCCCCCCCAGGAAAGAGGCATTTGCGTGCATTTTTTTTTTACTTCTAAAAACCCCCTCGATAAAAGGGGAGCAATCCCACCAGGTTTTTGAGCCCCACTGGTTTTAAACCTGCAAGTGAGGTCTTTCCCCGAAAAGTAAAGTGACTGGGAGTTATTTCTGGTTTTGACCCCCACCCCCACCCCACCCGGAGGCCTGAAAATAAGTGAAATCCTCCTCTGGCGCTCAAGGAACACACACGGGGGGGGGGGGAAGGTTCTGACAGACAAAAGGCAGTGAGGTGTCCATGCTGGGGACATGCTGGCAGAGGAGGAGAGGCAGGCAACTTGCAAACGTCACCGTGGGATCAGGTGGAAGCAGGGCTTCAGCCGATTCACCCTCTGGCTGAAAGAGTGAAACTTCCCTGCAGAGGCAACACAGGGTTTCCAAACCTCCTCGGCAGGTGGCGAGGGCTCCAACGCTGGAGGCCCTCAAGAGAAAGCTAGCCAGCCCTCGGTCCAATCTGCTATGACTTAGATTCCTGCCTTGAGCTGGGGGGTTGGATTGGATGGCCTTCGAGGCCCCCTTCCTGCTCCATTCCTTTTCTAATTCCACGATTCCTCCCAGCTGAGGTGTCTCGAAGTTCATCATGTGCCCGCTCGGGCCAATGCGAAAGGGCTTACTGACCTGATCTCCCCGTATCTTCTCAGCCCCAAAGCTATAGCACTTCTAACCGAACCCAGCAAAAGGGTGAAGGGAGGCCTCCGCTGAGAAGGACGTCCGGCCGCCGGCTACTTACGCATCACTTCCATGACGCGGTGTCGGAGGAACGTGCGGCTGCTCTGCAGGGCCCCGAAGCGCTTCAGGTCCAGGGGCCAAACGTTATCCGAGGGGTAACCGTTCACCAACCATTCAGCCAGGTACCTGTCCAGAGAGAAGCAAGAAAGAACCAGAGGTTAAAGGATGGAGAGGGCAACCGTGGCATGATCCAGACATGGCCCCCAGGGATGGTGCTTTGTAAATTGCTTGCAAAAAACAACAACATGAGGACAGGGCCACCATGATCCAGACATGGCCCCCAGGGATGGTTGTTTTCAAATGACTTGCAAAAAAAACCAACAACATGAGGACAGGGCCAAAGCAAAGCCCACTATGTACATGGCTTGGCTCGCTGTCCAGAACCTGGCCCTCCCCCCCAATGCCTCTTCGTGCACAGTGGGGGCAAAGCCATGCCCCTTGTCTCATTTGTGCAAATGGAAAGGGCAGAGGAAGGAGGCACAGATTCCTTCAAGCAAGTGTTCTTCGGCTAGAATGGCAGGACAGCTCTGGGCTTGATGGTCTCTGGCTCCAGAGGTTGGGAGTTTGATTCCCCCTCTGGGCCTCCTTGACAGGGACCGGACTCTGCGATCTACAGGGTCCCCTTCCAGCTCTGCAGTTCTAATATGATGATGATTGAAAGGACACTTGCCAACCTCTGAGTGCAGTTTTGTGAGTTACAGGTGACCGTCCTTCAGAAGCAGACTTATAAAGACATATGTACAAGTCGCTAACTTTACACACGACTGCTAAGAAGCTGCCAGCTGCCCACGATCCCACACTAGCTGTGGAAGAGAGGGAGCCCCAAACCCCCAGCAGAGGAACCTCGAGCACCAGCTTCTTCTTAGCAGACCAGCTAGTAAAACAAAAGGGGCCTCTATAACACCCGGACGACTGACACGGCCCACCCGTCTCGCCCCCACCTCGCCACCCAGGCAAGCCCAAAGCGAAGCCACTTACTTGCCGGCTCCCCCTCCGAAAGACGTGCCAGCCGAGTTCATCCCTGCCAGGACGAAGTAGCCCTGCACGCTGGGCGACTCTCCCATGATGCATCGCATGTCTGGGGTGAAGGATTCTGGGCAGTTCACCAGCTGCACAATCTCCAGGGCCTCCAGACCCGGCATCCTCCGCAGAAGGGCACTCAGAAGGGGCTCTGCTCCCCCCCGAACGAGACACAGCAAAGAAGCGTTTATCTTATGCGGGGAACGGGCGACATGGGTGCCTCCCAAAAGCTGGGCCTTGTTGCCCGCCCAGCAGCCCGGGAGAGCACCAGGTGGATAACCTCAGCAGCCTGTGACCCCCCCACCCCCACCCCGATGGGGGGGTGAAGCTCTCTTCACAAGAGCTCCCGGTTTTCCACTCAAAACTCCAGCCCTGCAGCGCAGCAGGAAGTCCCCGGGGCTGTGCACAACGCTATAGCTTTAACCAGAGTGGACACAGCGTGTCAGTCAAATGGGGGGGGGGGGGGGGCTTTATAAACTAACCCACATACCCGTGAAAACAGAGAGGAAACAGGAGCCCACCCGCACCACCACCCCCCGTCCATGGCCCCTTTGCTCCAGCTCAGCCACGTTCTGCTCAAGCCTGTTCTTTGGTCCCTTTGAGAAGAAGGGAATGTGGATGAACCCCTTTCCCAAGGAAAGGGTTCCAGGGAGCCCACAAACGTACCAAAGTGATCCCAGTCCTCTTGCAAGTTCTGGATTTCCAGCTGGTTCCGGCCCTCGGTGAAAATCGGCTTGGGGTTCTTCTCGAAGCCGCCGGACAAGATCCCACCCTGCCAGTTGCGGATGTAGATCCTCCCGTCGGGGTCCACAATCGCTGCAGAGACAAGGCAGAAGGGAAGCAACCACGAGAACACGCACACCTGCGGACACACTAGGCTTCCAGTCTTGGGGGGGGGGCAGGGGGCAGCGACACAGAGTCAGCCACTCGGCTCCGGTCCTTTCAGGATTGGCACAGTCGGCCTCACTCTACCCGCTGATCTTGGCACAGCAGCCCACGGTGAAGAACATACAGGACAGGGGCTACCAGCAGGGATCCGTCAACATGAAAGCGTCCGTGCAGACAGCTTGGTGTTCAAAGCAGGATGGCGGCATACTCTGATCTTTTCTGGACGGCTTCCTGTAGCTCCTCGCCATGCAGAGCTTCTGAAAAGTCCTTAACCACTATGGCGGGAGCAAGGCCCCCCTCGCTCGCACTGTGATTCTGAAGGACTCTCAGGAAGCCAAGATCAGACCCGCCGCTCCCCTGGGCCACAGCCGAGGGAGACTGGCGGTGCATGAGCTTTTGCCCAGGACCAACAAAGAACACAAGACAACTGTCTTTAACAGGCTCTGAGGATGAGACACGACCATCTTAGGACGTAAGGAAATAAATCCCCAACAACAGTTGCATTCGTATCCCTGGGGATATGAAAATAAACAAGGGGCATTCCAAGTACATGGGAGGCCCATTCCCTTCCCCCAGAACCGGCTAGTCTACTTACTGGTCACTGCGTAGAGATGCGTCCCATTGTTGTCCTTGTGCCAAATGCGGAAGGAGCCTGGCCGGCTCCTCTCCGCCTCCCCGTGCAGCCGACTCCTCACCGACTGAGCAGGGAGACTCTCTGTCCTGCCTCTGTGCTGAAATGGTCAGCTACCTGGGGAGGCAGGGAAGAGCCGGCCAAGCTCCTTCCGTGATTGGTGTGATGACGGAGCCGATGCCGCACGGTGAGCGGTGAGCAGACCAGCCAGTTCTGGGGGGAGGGAATGGACTTCCTTGGTACCTGTGATGCTGCTATTCGTATTCCCAGGGATAGGAATGCAAAGAGCCCAGGTCTAATCCTCGATTCCCATTTAAAACTGCCCAACATGTTTCAGCCTGAATTTTGTTGCCTTCTTCAAAGGTGCTGATTAATCGGATAAGTCATTGACTGGAGCTGGGGTACAGACCAAAAAAAAAAAAAAAAAAAAGGGGGTGGAGACCTGATACAGATCAAGATCAACAAAGGCCCCAGAAGAAGGCCATAAATTCAGGCTGAAACACGTTGGGCAATTTTAAATAGAATTACAGGGTTTATTTTCCATACATCCTGAGGTTACAGTTTCTCCTTCTGAATCAGATTTATCGGAGTTCCTTTTATTCCTTACAGGGGCTCAGGCCGAGCATCTCATGCGAAAGTCTTTCTTAGCCTTGCTATCTTTTTCTTTTAACGGGAAACGGCAGGAATTTCCTCATCCAAAGGGCAGGGTCTACAGCTCAGCAACAGGTGGGAGAATCTGCCAGGAAGCCCCCCCCCCAAAAAAAGGGGCTCCACGTGGGTCGGAGGAGCACGAGAGGAGAGGAGGGGGCTCCTTACTTGGCGTACTGCTGTCCAGCGGGGTCTTCAAAGGCCGCGTCAAGAGGTAGAAGTGCTCGCAGGGGTGGAGCGGGATGCTGACCGGAACCTCGTCGGAAAGACCCAGCTCGTAAGCCCACTGAAACCAAGGCAGATACGTGAGTCCCTATCGGGTTGCCGGCTTCTCCCCAAATGCATCCAACCCCTTAAACACGTGGCTGCTCCCCAACTCATGAAACTGCAGCAAACAACGCACAGAAAGGCAACCCAGCAGGTGGGATTTGCCTGCTGAGGAACAGCAAAGACTTATTATAAGAACGCAGAGACTCCACTGCTGCATTGCGTTCCCTGTGCCTAGAAGTAAAACCAATGAGCCAAAGGTGTTTGTATGATATATTTTTTTTTTCATAGCTCATTCAGTATAATTTGCGCATGCTTCTCTCGGAATGCTAAGCCCTTCCTAACATATAAAGCTCAGCCTCCAGGCTTCCGAATCTGGTGCACTCAGATGTGCTTAACTACAGTTCCCATCACTCCAATCAGCAGGGCTGTGGGAGCTGTAGTCAAGCAACATGGGGGAGACAAGAAGCTAGGGAAGGCTGCTCTGGCCCTTTACTGGGGGAAGGGAAAAAAAGGTAGATATTCTGCCTCCCCGAGGGAATCGTGTGCTACTTAGAGGAAACCAGCAGAGCACCGTTCCCTGCGAGACCTTCCTCTCTCCCCACCACAGATGTGAGAAAACCCCACGCTCTGCCCACAGCCCCAGGATGCAAGGAGCACTTAACCTGTCCAGCACAATTAACAAAATACTGGCACTCGATCATCCCTCGGTCCGTCTCCACCCCAGCCACGCAGCCCTTCTGGGTCACGATGTGGATGACGCTTGTTCGCTCGTGGATCTGAGCACCTTGGTAGAGAAGAGGGAGGGAGGGAAGGGGTCAGAGTTCCTTCAGCCCACCGGTTCTCCACCTTTTGCCCTCTAGATGTCTGGGACAGCTCCTAGAAGACTCAGCCAGAACGGTCAACGGAGTCCAAGAGATCTGGAGGACAAAAGGTTGTGAACCACGCAAAGAAAAAGCCACAAGTCTCTGTTTTATCTGCAGCCTCTCTTGAATCCTTGCTATTCCCATAGGTCAAAGGAGCACCAAGTGAACATGAGTCTCAGAGGTGCGCACATCCTCCCTGGCAAGCGGAGACCTTCTCCAAGAGACTGCTGCGCCCAAGAAACGACACAGCACAGGAGGGAGTAAAAAGCAGGCCACGGTCCTGCCGGGAATCAGATCAGTTGCTGATGGGATTCTGACCCAGCCCGCTGGCCTAAGGCGGTGCCTCTCTATTCTGGAAAAGGGCTCCCTCAAGGGGGGGCGTGCCAGGAGGCCCTGCTGGGAGAAGGACCACAATTTCAGCCCATACTTGGCGCACTACTCGGAAGGGACCCCCTGGAAGGAACCCAACAACCCGAAGAGATCAGCCTGGGCTGGCAGCTTCCCTCGCCGCAAGGCAGCTTTGGCATGGAGGTGGAAGGATCGCTTTGAAGAGGTTGGTCAGGCCTCAACTATCAGGAGCTCTAAAGGACACCTCTTGGCAAACTGATTACCCATCAGCAGAAGCTATGGTGCCTTATGGTGTTTCCAGAGATCAGAACCGCACAAGGTTGGGCCTGGAAAGGCAGGCAGGGACCGGGAGCAACTGCGGCAGACCCTCATGGAAAGGGGGCTCCAGGCAAGCCCCTCTTCTGATCACATATGGAAGCGGGGCTTGCATGTTTGCTCAGACCAGAAGAAAATTGGGTAGGTCTCGCTCCTAGGTCTCGCTCCCCAATGGAGCCCACAGAGGACCCGGGCTCTGGACGCGCAAGGCATTACAAGAAACAGCAGCCCCCTGGCAGAGCTGACTTTCTTCTGCCTGCGGTTGCCCCAAATCCAACCAGGCCCCTTTTGGAACGAAATGGGCCGGCAGCCTAATTTAACCTAAGCCAGCTCTGCAGGGATGTCAATGGCCCGGCCCCGATGACGCTACGGCGGGCATTTTTCTTTGTCCGTTCCAGAAGCCAGCTGAGAAGGACAGACGGTTGCGACAGCAGGACACCAAGTGTACAGAAGCTGGGACACTGCCTTACTTGAAGGAAGACGATGGGAACTACATAACTTGGTACCACCTACTCTTCGGGTAGCGTCTCTCTAGGGCAGGGGTTTCCAGAGGTTCTTGGACTGCAATTCCCAGAAATCCTGGCCAGCACAGCCAGAGGTAAGGCTTCTGGGAGTTTTTGTCCAAGAACGTCTGGGGAGCCCAGGTCGGGAACTGCTGCTCTAGGGTATCACACCCAGGTCTTCCACATCACCGTCTGCCAGACGATTTTAGCAGCCAAGGGCTGAACTTGGGCCAACCAGCCTCCAAAGCAGGTCCTCGGCTAATGAGTTATGGCATCTCCCCAAAAGTTTTAAAAGAAAGGCATGTGATGTAGAGATTCTATTTCTCCCAGCAGTATGTGCTTCTAAGAACACACTGTGTGTCTCAGGGTCAGGATCCAGGTTCTCATCCTACTCAGAGGAGGTCCAAGTCTGCGAGACCTGAGCAGGGCTGTTAACAACAAGACCATTCAAAGTTGACAAATCCAGAGAGGCCTTTCCACAAGTTGGAAAGGACGTCAGGGTGCATAACAGCATCCATTGAAAGCAATGGGAATGACAGAGTCCTAATGCACTTAAATCCATTCAATTCCATGGGTCTGCTCTGAGTATGATGAAGTCTGGATGCAACCCTTGGTTCCCTCACCTGTAAAACGGGGAACAGAGGTGGTCTCCTCTTCATGAAGGAAGCAACATGCACTGTAGCCAGTAAAGGAAGGGAAAGCGTTTTGCAAAGTGGAAGTGCATAGCTTGCACTCAGCAGCGCTTCCTTTCTCAAACAAGGGTGGCTGACTAAAGAGCGGTCTGGGCAACAGGGCAGGGCCGTACCATTGAGAGAGGCCGCGTGGGCCAAGGCGAGGCTCACGTCCGCAGACGAGACAATGGCGTCCTCGGGCACGTGCATGGCCCCCACCAGGTCATGGATATTGATAAGCGGGTGGAGCTGTTCCACTCTCTTTGGGGGGACGATCTCACAGGGGATCCCCATGACCCTGTCAGAGAATACACACACACACAGGGCAGGCTGGTCACAAGCTGCTCCAGAAAGCTTCCCATCCGGCTTGATCCCTCCACCCCTCCTGACCGCTTCCCCACTTACTTGAGCCGGGAGGCGATGCGTTTCAGGGAGATCAGCCGGTCCTGTGTCTGAGCTAGGGAGATAGAGCCCGTCCTCACATAACCTGGAACAAGAATCAACATCCAGTCAGGACTCCGCTAGCACCCAAAGCAGACGTTTCTGATGGCTACAAAGTACGGTTATTTCTGGCTTTTTTCAGGAGGGAGGATCATTAGAGTGTCGCCGTTAAGAGTGTTGGAAACAGGGTGGAAAGCCCGGGGTTTGGGTCTTGAAGCTCAGCGGGATGACCTTGGGCTACACAGTCACTGTTCTCTGGATAGCCCGCTTTGCAGGACTAACGGTGAGAGGCGCTACGTAGAGCCCCCGCTGTGTGTGGCCAGTCACTGCAAGCCTCTGGTCCTTCGGCCCTTACCGGTTTTTATCCCCGTCTCTTGCTCGAGTTGCTGATACAGACGGTTTGAGTAGTTGGCCATCTTCAGCTCGATGGACAGGTGCCGTGCCGTGCTGACAATGCCAGCGCAGAATCTAGTGGAACCGGCGGCTAACCTGGAAGAGAAAAAGGCCGGACGTCTCGTGGAAACCCCGAAGATCCCCCCCCAGCCTTATTGGCACAAGAAGAAAGGCGATGGTTCTGTTGGAAGCGGAGGAAATCCGCTGTAAGTGGGATGCAAGGAAAAAATCCTATCCCCCCCCCACCTCTGGCCAGAAAGGAGGGAAAGGGCTGTGTCGGCATGGCAGAGTGCCTGCTCAGCACCGAGGAGATCTCAGGTTCCATCTGCCACATCTCCAGGTAGGGCTGAAAGGAAAAAATCCTATCAGGAACCTGGAGGGGGGAATCACTGCACATGGACCAAGATTCTAGTTTCATTTAAAGCAGCTACTTAAGCTCCTATGGCTCTTAGAGAGTTGGGCAGAGAAGAGAGGCAGGAAATATTCCTACGATATGCCAGCCAAGAGCTACGTGGGCACCTTATTCAAGATGCAAAAAAAACCATGCCAAGTAAGATACTTTTCTCCAGTTGCACAGAATGAAAAGATCACATTTGGCAACACGGAACACCTTGTTTCGCTCGAGCCAAAACAATAATTATCATTTTTACCTGCCCTGCTCCAGTAACACGATGTCCTTCCATCCTAGTTTGGAGAGGTGGTACGCCACTGACGTACCCATGATCCCACCCCCGCAGATGACCACCTGTGCGTGGGCTGGCAGGGGGGTCAGCCGAGGTTCCGTTCCGCTTGTGCTGCTGTGCCGGGAGCCAGACACGCACCACCTTCCCTGACCTGCCCTCTGCCATCGGACATCTGATAACAGTCGGAGGAACATCTTGGTTATTATTCCTCCGCTCTTCCCACAGGTGGGCCTCCACAGTTCCTGGAAAACATCGGTGTTCTTTGCATTACATAAAATCAAGGTATGGTCATCTTGCTTACAGATAAAGGGGATAATGTATCATCTTTGCAAGGCAACAGGTGTCCACAGCGTTGGGCAGATGGAAGACACCTGATGGCCACAATTCTGATGCCAATGAATGCATTATAATGCTTAAACATGTGTTCTCATGGACTAAACATTGCTAAAAAAATGCACTGGTAACAACTGTGGGTAAAATTACTATTTAACATAACAACTGACACAGATTTAAAGTCATTCTCAACTAAGCAAAATCATCACAGAAAACAGTTCTTAAACTGTCCAGAGTTAAATGCGAATTATGTGGCTTTCTGTGTTCCATGCAGCCAAGCTGCTTCTGATTTATGGAGACCGGTCTCTATTATTGACCTCTAAAAGATCCAGTCCTTAATAACTTTGCCCAGGTCTTTGCAAAGTCAAGGTCACAGTTTCCTTGAATCCAGGAAGTTTAATACCAACAGAGCACAAACAGACAACTTTAAATATATAGAGATATATTCTGCCCAGCAATAGGCCGGCAGTGGACACGTTTCACCACTAAGTTAAATCTGGGTCTTGTTGGAGGTAGCCGAGTTCTGATTTATTGCTGGTAATTTTTAGACTCTAGATCATTCCTATTTAATAGTACATGTGCAACTATTAATCTGTTAAAATACACAGAATATTTTACACATGACACAGTAATCTGGGCAAATTTAGGCAGATGCTTTTAAAGCAATGCTTAAGAATGGGCACTGTCCCCTGCTTTATCAAATTCTCCAAGATAATACCTCTGCGGGAGTGTGAGAAGGAAACCAACCTCTAATTAATGCTGAGATGGCCACATCTGGGACACGGATGCATAAGGCAGATCACCTGCAAAAAAATTTACAGTGAAAGAGCTGAAAGCAAATGGTAATAATAAACAGCAACAACAATGATTCCAACATCTGGGGTTATTGTTTTTGCTTTTAATGTTTATTTTTGGTCTCTATTATACTTGTAACGGCCCAGAGTAGTGCCTGGACACTAACAGGAGCAGAATAGAAACTGAATATATATATAAATAAAAATAAGAAATAATCTATATATGGGGAGCACAATTATGCAACTCAAAAGTCAGAAAAAGTTCAAGTTTTTGGAAAGCCTTTGATTCGGAACCCAAGTGCCTTGGATGGGCTCAGATCATGCCTGCATTTGCTGGGGTGGGTGGGGGACAATAAAGCAAGGATCGCTGGCCGTGCAACTGTAACTTATGATAATGCTATATTTATTAAGACCTTGGGACACGGATGCATAAGGCAGATCACCTGCAAAAAAAAAATAAACCTGCAAAAAACCCCAATAAACCAAGGATCGCTGGCCACGCAACTGTAACTTATGATAATGCTACAGCATTTATTAAGACCCGGCAGTCTGGGTAGAACACCTGTTGCTTAGCATAAGCTGCAAGTAGAGGGAGGGGGAGGGGCCCCTTGCACCGATGGCCATTATGCATAAGGCAGATCACCTGCAAAAAAAAAATAAACCTGCAAAAAACCCCAATAAACCAAGGATCGCTGGCCACGCAACTGTAACTTATGATAATGCTACAGCATTTATTAAGACCCGGCAGTCTGGGTAGAACACCTGTTGCTTAGCATAAGCTGCAAGTAGAGGGAGGGGGAGGGGCCCCTTGCACCGATGGCCATTACAGAGGGGTTGACCCACCAAGTCCCCACTGATAGATAGATAGATAGATAGATAGATAGATGAAGGGAGAAAGGAAGGAAGGAATAGATAGATAGATAGATTTGCATTGCTATGCATTGCATTTTGTTTAAATCTCAGAAAAGGATAAACGTGACCCGGGACTTTTTTAGACCAGCAGCCTAGAAAGCCTCCCCGCTCCCCCCCCCCATTTCAGGCTCAGAAACGTTACTTCTTCTTTTTTGCACCAGGAAAGGAACGTGT